GTGGACATTGGGACCAGTCAAAATTATACTTGAATGGCCTGCAACCTAGTACAACTGTCTGCCTGTGAAGTGTGAGTGAAATCTATGAATAATGGTATCAGTCCTAAGGCTGGGGATTTAGCTCAGTGGCTTAAGCACCTGCTGTGCAAGCATGAGGTCGTGAAAAACAATAACAACAAAAAATCAGTCCTATGACTTTGGTGTATTATGTATCTTTCTCCTAAACCTCCTCTTTTTGTGAACAAGATTTATTGAGAGACACAACAATAGGTTTGTGATTTATTATGGCATCCAATCTAGAACAAATCCTTACCACCTTAAACCTGTTCCTAAATTAACCAACCAAAATCCAAATCTTATAACATGTTCTTTCTGACACTCTTTCGTTAAGATGCTTCCTGACCTTCTTGATAAATGTTGTCCCATTCTTCAGTGATTCATAAAATCACCTTGTTCCACTACAAGTGTGTTCTTGGTAGTCAGTTTTATGTTACTTTAATTTTCAAAAATGAAAAATCTTCATATAGGCACCTATAATTTTCTAATGCAAGTTATAAAGCTTGACTAACTTGAATGGATCTAGAGAACAAATTGATGATTGATCCTGTAGCTCATCTCATAGTTCAGTATCTGTGCTAACTCAGCTTTACTTTCCAGTATATTTAATTTCTTGGGAAGTCAAACAGCATCAACTATTTGGTTTATATGACAGCCATGTGTCACTTAATGGCAAGAATATGTTCTGAGAAATGTATTGTTGGGTAATTTTGTTGTTGTACAAACATCATAGATTTTACTATAGTGTGAGTTAGTCATTTGACATGCAATCAAGAGTCATAGTGAACATGAAATATCTAGGGCTTCTTCTAGCAGCACAGCATGCTATTTTACAGTTAACTTTTTCTTTTTGTCAGTAGGAGGAATATATTCCAAAATATCGAACAAATTATAGTGTAATACATACAAAACCTGTAATATAGTCATTTACTGCCCTTATTATTAATATACTGTACATAATTGCATGTGCTAAACTTTTATGACTGTTAGGTCAGTGGGATTGTTTACAACATCACAGAAAATATGTGAGTAAAGTTTGTACTAAGTAATGATAGCTATAGTGTCACTAGGCAATATGAATGCTTCAGTCCATGAAAATCTTATGTTGGTCATTGTTGATCAAATTGTCATTATATGCTTAGACTTGAGAGATTTAGGAATTGCTAGTTAAACAGAAAGAAAATAATCCTTTGTCCCTTACTAATGATCAAAAGCTACAAACTAAAAGTCATGCTTAGAAAACTTTAGCCAAGATCATAATAATTTCTATTATTGAGCATTTACTGTATGCCAGTATCATATGAAGTACTTTATATAATTATTTAATTTAGTTCATCTAAGACTTCCTAAGTTTGAGATGCATATGCATAACAGAATATCCAACTAAAAATAGGTCAAGCAATGAAGAAAACGTGCTATATCATAGTCCCATGATGTCCTTAGTGCAGAGATTCCTTTGCTGTCTTGATTCAGAAAATGTTTTTCAGTTACACTCCTGTTATGCTACACAACTTTCAAGAATTTTACTGTCCATTACCTCTTACAGAAATGCTATAAAAATATAACAAAACACAAAAGAAAAAATGAGCCCCACAGTTCAAGCCTCATAAATGACTAGTACTAGCATTCTGGTTTATTGTTTTCTTGTAGTTTTTCAAAGTATACATAATGTACAAAAATTCAATTTCCTTTCTCTCTTTATTTTTGTTTTTTTGAGATAGGTCTTGAATTCACTATGTAGCCCAGGCTGACTTTGAACTTAAGGAGAAAACATGTCTCTTTAAGCCAAGTGATGAACGCAGTGCATTCCTAATAAAAGTAACAAATGATTTTTTAGCATTATAAGCCTATTGTAATATTAATATATTATACAAGTAGTCCACAGTTATGCAATAGTAAACAAGCACATAGAAGAAAACAAAATTCTGAGAATGAAGAATAATAAAGATGGACTATCTCAGATATTATAAAGCTACAGTAATTAAAACATATGATAATGATGCATGAATAAATTGACATATTAACAGAAAAGACTACAGAGTTCAGATTAGATACAAAATAGATATATAAATACAGCTGATAACGATATTTGTTAGAGAATTCAGAATGTGTTTAGATCCACATATCATGTTTACACTAAAATAAATTCTGCATAAGTGAATGACTGTGGGAATAATAAAATCACAAGAGTATAAGAAAAAAATCACACGATAATTTAAAATAAATCTTCTTATGGGGGAAATCCTTTCTGAGCACAAACAAAAGTAGGGAGAATGAAGCCCAGATTAAAAACAAGTTATAAATTCTACCCTTAAAAATTTAAAAATCTATATGGAAAAATAAATCTGCTTATGAGTCTTATCAAAACCTAAACTGAGAAAAAACATGTACAATTTAAATCACAAAAGTTCACAGAAGGCTGAGGCAAGAGTGGAGGATCACCTGGACCACTTTCCTTGAATAAAGAACAATTGTCTCCATTTTAGCTAAACCTGGCCTCATCTCCAAATACTGATGTGTACAGAGCTGGCTAAGCTATTTCCTTTTCCCTTTATTTGGCTCTAAGTAATGTAAATTGGGCTAGCTGAGGTGCCCGTGCATAATCCCTGAGGCTAGATGACAGTTGTTGTTTTCTCACCCCAGGGTCTCCATAAGCATGGTTGAGCTGGGTGGGACTGACAGAGCCACTAGGGCTGTCTACTGGGTCGAGCCTTTTGAGATAAAGGGCTGTAACTTCCTGGGGTGGAAAAGTTTGCACATCAGAATCTAAAGCACCAGAGCCAAAACATTAAACACTACCTCAGTTGTGTTATGCAGATTGGTCTTTCTGCATATTTCTCTGCATATCGCAGAGGAACTTTTAGTGCTCTTAGCTAGCTATACCTGCTCACAGTACTCACGTATCTCCCGCCATTCTCATAGTCACTCAGCCTCAGGCCACTTCCTTCTTCATGAATTAATAAAATCTGGGTTAAGCCTTGAATCAAAGCCATCATTCTGTTGAGTCCTCTTTCTGGCCAGACTTAGGAACCCTTCGCCTCCCATAATTATAAATATGTCATAGTGCCTTTATTGTCACCATGGTTTGCATTGGAAGTGGTAGATTGTAATTAACTGACTAGAATTGCAATAATGTTTGCAATTAACTGACTAGAATTGCAATGACGTTTCCATGGGATTACAAATATAAACTTCTTACACTGTGATAAGGATGAAAAGGAATCTCTACACAGGAGGATTACTTGGGCCAGCCTGGGTTTTATGGTGAGGGACCAGACTGAACTTCATAGCAAGATCCTGTTTATATTAGCAAAGATAAAATAATTTGGTGACATATTATTAACGGGATCTGGGCAAATAAGCACTGCTATGCTAGCAGGAATGTAACTGATGCAATTTTGTAGAGTAAGTATAAAATTTTCACATACAAATATTCACTCACCCAGCAAGTCTCCTTCTGGACTTCCATCTTCCTGCTACACTAAATCACTTCTAGGTTATTTGTAATACTTATTATAACGTGAATCCTATATAACTACCTTCTTTTACTCTATTATTTAAAAGATAATGATAAGAAATGTCTGCACATACTCAGTACAGATGCAATTTTTAAAAGGGTTAGGTTAGGGTTAAAATATTTTCGGTCTGCATTTATTGAACTCCACAGAGGCAGAACGTGTGAACATGAAGGGTTAACTATACAGACAAACTTTCTTCAGAAGAACATATAAGAAACTGGTAACAGTTGGCTTTGAGAATAAAAAGTATCTCATTTCATTCTACCCTTTGAATTTTGAATGCAGTATCAGTTATAAAAGTTAACTAAAACTAAATTATACTGAGGGAGGTCCTTGGAATTACAACAAAACAAAATGAGAAAACCTAGCTTGACTTTTAATAAGGCAATCCAAAGAAGAATAAAAGAAATATCTCAGCAAGAGGTTAATAACCAGGTCCTATTTTTTCCCCCAAAATCTCCAATTGTTAGGGAGTCTGGACTTTCTACTTCCCATGCCAGTCATGAAGTAGAGAATTAACCAGTGCTAAAATTTCCCTGGCAGGTGAAACCAGGTCTAGAGTTTCCCTCTTCTCCTTCCCATTGTTTGCTAGCAATGGAGATTAGACTGGCCAGTGAATGAAGGACTGGAAGCCTATTGATTCTTTAGCAAATATGAAATTCAATGAAAAAAACTATTGGAACCCAAAGTATTGGGTCCGTCATTACATAACCTTATGTTACCATCCCTGTGTGGCACAATCCTTGATCTCTTTCTTGGCTGTGCTCCAGCGACTAGACACTGAGGACTACGAGGACTAGGAGGCAGTATGGGTAAGGTCCACTACAACAGAGAGCTTGTCTTTACAGTGTTATTTTCTTTCTTTCTCCTCTAAAAGTTAAAAGAGATATGTTTACTCTTAAGTGGCAGACGGGTTGTCCCTTGGCTTTAGGAAAATTTATGAGAAGGTAACTTTAGCATCATTTGGTTTTGAAGAAGAAAAAATAGGCAACTGTCTGTATCTTAATTCCTCCAGATCCCAAAATTTGACCAATTTTTTTGAGCAAAGGCCATTTCTGCTGCAGCTTGTCTTGTTTTGTATGTCTGTCTGTGTGTCTATTTGGTCTAACTGTTGTCCTTATGTTTACCCAAATCTAACAAAACATTCTCTCCTAGGAACCCCTTCTATGAGCCCAAAATGGACAAAGGGATTTAGACCATTATTTTCATCTCATTGTTATTCTATCTCTTCCTCCTAATCTTATCTCTGTCTCTTAGATTCTCCCAGGAGAAGAACTGACATCTCTGCCAGCCATGGGGCAAACTGAATCTAAATCCAGCATGCCCCTTAGCCTTGTGCTTGATCACTTCAAAGAATTTGAGAGGTGGGCTGAGGGCTACAGGGAGCCTGTTTTCAAAGGAAGACTAATTATTTTTGCTTCTCAGGAGTGGCCAATAGCGACAAATGGCGTCTGGCTCCCCGACTGGATCCTGTGACATGGGTACTGCCCAGGCTGTCCATCAGCGGAGGTGATAGCAACATTAAAAACAAAACCAAAATCACCTGTGCCCGACTTCCAACCCTCTGTGCCAGTTTTACCATCAGTGGAGGACCCCCTGGAAGATGTCCTCTTCCCTCCCCTATATTCCCCTCTTAGAAACCCTTCACCCAACACCTCCCCCCTCGCAGTCCAATCTGGACCTGAAGCAGACCACGGCCAAATTCACCTGACTCCACCATGGCAGCGTCAGCACTCTGCCCCCTTTGGCAGGTTCCCGATCCCCGGAAACCAAGAGACTTGATTATTGTCTAACATCTGTAAGTATTTGGGTTTTTTTTTTTTTTTTTTTTTTTTGCCTGTTTATAATCTGAGTGTACACATTTGTAACTGCAGATAAAATGAGACAGCTTCTGGGGGCCTTTTCCCCCCTTTTGTATTTTAGGGCTTTTGGGGCCCATTCATAACTTTGTTTGGGCTTCGGCCTATTTGGGGCTTTGGCCTGTTTGTGTGGCTCTGGCCCATTTGAGGCTTCGGCCCATTTGTAATTACTTGCAACCTCGGCATGCCTTTTTTTAAAAACGTATTTTTCTTTCTGATTAAAATGTGTGTGTGTGTGTGTGTGTGTGTGTATATATATATATATATTTAAAAATCATATTAACTTTACCAAGTGAAACCAAGCCATACTGTTTTTGAGCCAGTTAAGAAAATTACAGTTTTTAAAGTGTGGCATTTTAAGGTGGTGAAAACACATGAAATGATTCAATATATTTTAGACTACTGAAAGAAAATCACTTCAAGGGTTTTGTTGAAAGTTTTAATGTTGTCTGAAAAGTGAGAGGGAAGGTAATTGACTGGTAATAAGTAAAAAAAAGAGGGACAAAGAAAGTGGTTTTGTCTTCAAGTAAAAATGTCTGGCTGTGCCAGAATGTGAAAGAAGATAGGAAAAGCTCAACTTGAGGGTATATAGTAAGTTGTAGAAAGCTCGAGGAGATATAAATTTTGTCTTGGTTATGTAGTACTGCAAATAACAGGTTTCAAAAGAAGTAAATGTGTTAAAAATTTGACAGTATTAGATCAGTTTTTGGTAGATTTATTCATAAGATTGGTGAACATTTACTGCAAAATGTTTCCATTAAAATGAGATGATACTCCAAAAGGGGGAGGGCAGACTGAAGCCCTTTTTTGTTAAGCATGTAATTTCAGTAAAATGATGGCCTGCCATGTGGCACCCTAGGACAAAAAGCAGTATGCCATCCAGATGAAGCCTGCTCTCTGATCTGGAATGCCAGAACCATGTTTTCCTTTTGTCCCATCCCAACTGAATAACCAGAGGTAAGGAGGTTCCCCAATATCACCAGTTGTTCTCAGTAGCCATTAGGGCACCCCAGAAAACCCACCAATTTGCCCAAGATAGCAAAGATGAGACAATTGGCTAATAAGTTTCCCTCAGGGTTTTCTGAAAAGATTGCAAGAGGCCTATCACATTCATACACTGGTAGCACCTAAAATGCAAGAGCCAATGTTGCCTTTGTAACTCAGTGGGCCCAGACATTAGACAAAAATTGCAAAAGTTTGAGAGATTTGAGGGAATGCCCCTCAGCCAGTTAATAGAGATAGCACAAAAGGTCTTTGAGAACAGAGAGAATTTACAAGAAGCTACCAACAGGAAGATAACCAAGGTGTTAGAATTGCTCTATGAGAGAAAAACTAAAAAAAAAAAAAAAAAAAAAAAAAAAGTACAGGAGTTTCTGGGGGTGGTTGGATACTGTAGGCTATGAATTCTAAATTTTACTGAAACAGCTCATCCTCATATGATTCCATTAAGGGAGACACTCAAAATTCACTGAACTGGATTGATAAATGTGAATAGGCCTCCTAGCAGCTCAAGCGGGCCTTGACAGAGGCCCCAGCCCTGGGACTCCCTGATATTACCAAGCCATTCATTTTGTTCATAGATGGACTCAGGAGCATTGCCAAAGGAGTCCTAACCCAGGACATTGGCCCTTGGAAGAGGCCTATAGCCTACCTCTTCAAAAGACTTGATCCAGTGACAAGAGGATGGCCCCCTGCCTGAGAATGCTAGCTGCTGTGGCAATGTTACTGAAAGAGGCTAAGAAACTCACTTTTGGACAAAAGATTTCTGTGGTGACCTCCCACAGTTTAGAGACTCTTATCAAAACCCCTCCTGAAAAGTGGCTTTCAGTGCCAGAATTCTGCACTATCAAGCCCTGCTCCTAGACCCAAAGTCAGTGGTTTTCAAGGCCTCTTCAGCCTTGAAAACCCAGCCACCCTTATGCCTGACAATGACCCTGAAGTTCAGAGTGTGCCTCTCCAAGAGTGTGCTGATCTCCTAGAAACGCAACAGAATCTACGGGCTGACCTTACTGACCAGCCTTTGGGGAATGCTGATAACTACTTCACCGATGGGAGCAGTTTCATCCAGGATGGCAAACGAGTCACCTGAGGGGCAGTGACTACTGAAAAAGAGGTAGTCTGGGTAAAGCAGTTAGAGCTTGGTACCTCAGCCCAAAAGGCTGAGCTCATTGCTTTGACCAAAGCATTAAAGTTAGCCACCAGGAAAAAAGTAAATATCTATACTGACAGTAGATATGCTTTTGCTACTGTACATGTGCATGGAGCCATCTGTCAAGAGTGGGGTCTCTTAACCTCAGCCAGGAGTAAGATAAAAAATGCTCCCCAAATTTTAAACTTGTTGGCTGCCATCTGGATGCCAAGGAGAGTGGCTATTATCCGCTGTATAGCCCATTGGGCAGGAGATGACCTTGTTATACAAAAAATAATTTGGCAGACGCCTCCACCCAAAAGGCAGCCACAAAATCAGTGAGGATTGAGATAGCTCTGACCTTACTGTTGATCCCACCTACTTTGTCAGAGCCTATTTGCACTTGAAAACACTTGCATCCGACAGCTCAACTTCTGAGCGATCCCTGGGGGTTAATATTGAAGCTAGCCCAGTCTGTGAGCCTCAGATGCCCTCAGTGCCAATTGGTGAACCCAAAACAACTGCAACAAATAAAAACCACTCGCTACATGAGACTATGCCTAGAAAACATTAAGCCTAGACTTCAAAAAATAATAAGTCTTTATAAATAATGATAGATGGATTAAAACTTTACCTACTGAGTCTGAGTCAGCCCTGATAACAGTTTCCCTGATTTGGCCTCCCTTTTATCCATGGGGTCCGACAATGGCCCAGCTTTTATAGCCCAGATAACTCAAAAACTAACCTAAGCTTTGCAGATCAATTGGAAACTCCATTGTGCTTACCAGCCTCAAAGTTCAGGACAAGTAAAAAAGATTTTAAAGACAATAATTACTAATGGCCTTAAAAACTGGCGAGAACTGGGTGAGTCTCCTTTCCTTTTGCTCTTTTATTTCCCCTTTTGAGGCTTTATATGGGAGACCTCTTCCTCTTATCCTTAAGATTTCTAAAGAAAAATTAGCTGATTTGGCTAAACAAGATCTTATTAAGTCCCCCCTAGACTTTTCAGCCAGTTCGGACTTCCATCCACCGGTTATTTCGGTGGCTGCCCACTGTGAGGACAAACACCCTGCTGTGGAGCCTGGACACCGGTCCTTATCAAGAAGCATCACCATGAGCCACAATAGACTATCAAAGTAGCCGAAAAGCCTGCCTGGATTCATCATTCCCACTGCAAGCAGCTCCTGGCTTCCAAAGACGATCAGCCTGCAGATAAGTGGACTGTCGTTCCCTCCAAGGACTCTTTAAAGCTTAAAATTGTCAAATGTAACTGATTATCTTGTGTTCTTCCTTGTAGAGACCCCAAGGAGGCCTCTGTCTGACTTTAAAAAATTGTTATATGATAAAATAGAGTAAATTTAAATGTTGGTTTTCTTTTGCCTTATAGTTAACAGCTTTAATAATGACAGCTGCAAGATATTTGTTAATCCTCCTATTGGGCCTTATATTGTAAACAAGTTGATAAACTATGTCAAAGATCTTAAAAGCTTAAGATTTTAAAGATGCACACAAGGTTATAAACAGATGAGTCAATGATTTGACTCACTAACTAAAATCAGTGGGGAATGTTATAACCTATATATAAAAAAACCCTCGTAAGTCTCCTCGGAGGCAAGAAAAAGATCAAAGGTAACTCTAAGAGCAGAACAGGATGTCTTCCTAATCTAAACTTGCTTGTTGGCAGGGAAACTTGCTTGTTTGCAGGATGTGCCTTCCCCTAGAGGATGTTTGCTGTCTTAGTTACTTTTTACTTGTTGCTGAGACAAAATACCTGAAGCCCAAGTTGAGAAAGGAAAGGTTATTTCTTATAGTTTTTGGAGGTTTCAGTCCACACTCAGTTGGCTCCAAGGCAGGCGGGCATGGCTGGGCCGCAGTTCATGGTGGCTGCAAACAGCAAGCAGGAACCAGCAAAGAGCAAGACACACCTTCTTCCTGCCATTACATCACATCCTGGCTCCACCCCTTTGTGGGTGGAGCACTGACACCATCAATCCAAGCACTATACAATGAACCATCACAAATGAACAATACAAACTCATGAGGTCTGGGGGCCACAGACATAAACCATGACATTTGCCTAATCTAAACTTACTTGTTAGCCCAACCCTTACCTGTACCTTGCTCTTCCCAAGAAATGTTATTGCCGTGTTCCTGTTCTGTAGTGCGCCACAAACCCACTCCTCCTCCTTGCATTGTGAGACCAGCAGCTGTTTGCAGTTTTACAGGATAAAAACCCTGCCCTTTAGCTGTTAGGCGCGTAGTCTTCCATATTGACTACCAGAGGCTGCGTGGCCAGGCCTGGCCTAAAATAAAGCCTTTGCTCCAAATTTCTTAATTTCTTGCTTCCTTGGATTTTATTCCAGGGTCTGAGCTACCACAGTCTCTAATCATAATTATGATGATTTGCACTTTACAAATGAGGCAACTGGAGCATGGACAGGTTAACTAAGTTTTCCAAAGTTATCCAATGTATACATGGTAGAACTCAGGTTGAGTCTAGATAATATAGCCACACAGGTTATCCTCTCATCAAAATACATGGCATTCTACATTGTCATGGTTTTTCACATAGTATGATCATAACATGAAAAAACGTTTCGCTAAATCAATCTCATCCTAAAACTCAAATCACAGGGAATGTGGATATCTTACTTGCTTCCTTTAATTAATGTTGCCAATATTGCTGATCACTGTTGTGAAAACAACACACACACACAAATGCCTACATAATTATATAGCTACAAGAGCTACACAATATCAATGTTCCTAAAAATATATATTAGTTCTACTTATCTTGTACCCCTCATTTTCTACCTCCCTCAGAAACAAAGCTCTGTTCCATTTAACCTATGTATCAGCTTATACTAAGAAACAACATAAACAAAACAGGAGTGCAAAGTGACTTGTAATGTTGCGTGAAAGTTCCCAAGCCAGAGCCAAACCCTGCTGAAGGGCAGACTCTGCGCTGAGGAGATAAGAAGGCAACATCTAATCTTTATGCCAGCAGACTGTCATGGGATAATTCCACAAAAGCAACAGCCCTGAATTAGGGAGGAGTTCAGGCTATAAAGAATTTAGAAGTGGGAGGTACAGAGCAAGGGACAAAATGTTACATGATTGGATACATACATTGAGTTATATTGACAGAAAAGCTAGTCTTGAAACAATAGAACAGTCTGGAAACACGGGGAGGGGGCCTTACAGAGTAAGCACATTAAGGGCATTACCATAATATAGAAATGTTCCGGAGAGAGGGTCTTTACTGAATGAGCACAGGTAGGGTGTCCTTGAATCAGCGCAGGGTGCCTTAAGATGCAGACAGTTACTCTTAACGTAGTGCTCATCCGAGGTATGCAGCTGGGCTATAGACACTGTCAAGGTCAGCTGAATTTAGCAGAAACAGCAGAACAGCAACTTGGCCAGAGACCTCTAACTGATCATGAAATAACTATAAGTCTGCTACTTTACACAAGCATTTTTACATTATAATTGTGCCCAACACTAATACCAAGTGTCATCGAATACCAGGTATTCTTGTTCACAGCTAAATGATGCTATCATCCTGCTTTCCTGCAGACACGCATAGAATGCTGAGAGAACTTCTTGTTAATGAGATAGCTATTTCTAAGAGTCATGAGTTTATGAAAGAAAAGTATCGGATAATGCTTATTCAAAAGCTAACATGAAGAAAGACCAACAAAAGAAGGAAAGCAGTTTAAAATTGACAAAGACTTTCGTTCTTAAATCTCAGAAATAATCAGACAGTTCAAAAGCTTTTCACTTTGAATCTTCTGGAGAAGAAATTGAAAACTGGAAGTTAGTTAGGCAGCAGCACAGTGGAAAGAGGACACATAGCTCCTAATTCCTGGTCATGATTTACTCCTACTAGACAGAGAAGACTCAAATTAGGGCATCCTCATCATTCTGTTTCTTGTTCCCATTTAGAAATTGCTATGGTTTTTTTCTTTGTGCTACTTTGCTAGCCTCTTTGAAGCTTCTCTACCACTGGTAAAACAGAATGACTCTTGAGAACCAGAATTACAGAGCCCAAAGCCAAGCAGGTTTGGAGGCCAGGCTGCTGCATATTTCCATGACTCTATCATCTACCAGCTTATGAGCATAAACTTACTACAGTCTTTAGCTTTAGCCTCTTGGGAACAATGCTGAATATGGTAAGACTAGCTGTGTAACAATTTGGGAAATATTGAAGTGTGTAAATTAAGTGCCTGACACAGTAGGTAAAAACAAGGAGATTTATTATTAGCAGCATATATTTCTCTAATTTATCTGTTAACAATCTTCCTCCTTTTTCATTCTTCAAATTACTGCATATGTAAGCACTTAACATGACCACAAATGCATACTAATTTAAGAATCATTAAGAATGTACAGAAAAGTATAGTAAATAACAGCGCACCACCAATACAGTGCTAGCCAGGTGTGGTGGCACATACCTGTACCTCCAGCACTTAAGAGGCTAAGAATGAGGGTAGCAAGTTCAAGTCACAGTGAAGCAAATTAGCAAGACCGTGCCTCAAAAGCTAGAATATAAAAGTGCTAAAGATGTAGCTCAGTGCAAAGGCCTTGAGTTCAGTCTTCAGTGCCCCTAAATATATATTGCTGTTTTACATGTTTTTAACTTTATATAAATGGTAACAGATTGTCTGTAACATTTTATAACTTACCTCTCTGAGATTCTCTTTTTGAGATTTATGCATGTTCATATATATAACATTGATATTTAAATATTTTATTTGATTGTAAGAACCTACCATAATATATTTCTGTATTCTCCTGCTGATGGAAATTTGGGTTGTTTTCATTTTTTCACTATTATGCAAATACTGCAAATGTACATCCTTCTCACATGTGTTTCTTTGAGTAATTATTCTCCAGGTACAAATCCAGGGCAGAGTTACAGATTTCATAAGCTAAGCTACAGATATCTTAAACATTACTAGTAACCATCAAATTGTGTTTTCAACATTGTAGCATTTTGTTGTTGCTTTTGCTTGTGTGCCTTTCTAGGTTCTCCATTTTTTTAAACATAACATTTATTATGTAACTTGGTGGTTTGTAATACATTTGCAGAGTTTGACAACCATCACCAAACCTAATCTTAGAACATTTTAGTGACATGATGTTATTTATAAGTATGCATATACAGAAATCTACAAAGCTGATTTTGTGTATTCTGTAATATAACCATGGAAATCCCTTGGGGAGTGCAAGTTTGTAGAGTTTTCTTTGCATAAAATCTGAAGTATGGAATAAATAGCTGGAAGAAACATTCTTAATTACATTATAAAACTACTTTAGTGCAGAGTCCTGTTATTTGCTAATAAAAAACTTTCATCCTTATTTATTTACCATAGAGTAAAATGACTCAGAACTCTATTTGAAGAGAACGGGAGGAATCCCACACCAGATAAGTGGCAGATTTCTACAAAGCAATTCTTAACCATGCCAGAAGGAAAAGGAGATTTGAAGAGGGCAGATGGAGGAGTAAAGAGCTGTGAAGCCAGCACACTGGCAAAGGAGAAGGGAGGGCAACCATCCTATAATTTTTTCCAAGCTAAGCTATTGAGGTTTTGTCAAGTAATTTTCATGCACTGAGTTATTAATTAGTGATATTTAACAAATATGACTCATCCCATTTCAAACTTAAGGTCTTGATAATGAAGATTGCTAAGTATAATTTTAAATTATACATACACATATATGAATGTTGTTCTTATTCAGCCACTACATGTTTAACATTGATTAAATCTTTCCATTTGGGTCCCATAAGAGACACAGATTCATGGACAACAGTGCTGGTTTTCCTAGGTTGCCTTTTAGTCGTTAGCTTAAGGGCATCACTGTCCAGCTGCTGTAGGTTCATTTCATTGGGTACTTGGCCACTTTCTAAAATGTTCTCCTTTCACTGCCAGCTACCCACAGGGAAGGTATGGTCGCATAAGGAAGACAGTCACAAAGGCGTGAGATCGCCGAGACAGACACCCTGAACCCTACCACAGAGACACAGCCTGGCAACAGCTGGACCCGGCCTCGGGGCAGCTGTGCCTCCTACCATCCTCAAACTGAACCCGAAGTTGAAAACAGCCCACCTCGACAGCATGATGTTCATTTCTTTCTCCACCTGGAGCTTTATCTATGTGTTATTATTTTTTAACCCACAAGTTGCATAGGTAAAGCGTCTGAGCCATTCTACATCCCACAACACCACAGCCTCAACTTGAATCCTCCAGCAATGTGGCTGTGAACCTCCCTTTGACCTCTGGTGTGCAGGGTCCTGGGCAGACAGGGGGCTTGCACAAACCTCCCTCCAAAAATGTAGTAAATAGCTACCATACTCAGCAAGTCGTGGAGTTCAGGAATGAGTTGCAGTGGGTGCAAAAGCCCAAGGACATTTCTATGGTTAGTGGCATCACACCCTAGGCAGTAAAACTGATCTGCTGCAGGCCAACTAAGGGACTGGTACTGAGGTACAAAACAGGCCTGAATTGCCCGGACAAGGATTAACTCCAGCAAACAACCTGTTGGATTCGAGGTAGAAAGCAAGTGATATGCAAAAGAAGGAGAAAGCACACCCAAATTTCTCTTTCGTTGCTCAGCTCAAGGAGAAGAGGCCAAGCTTTAACCTCATCCCAAATGAGGCACAATAATCTGGGAGTTGTTGGCCCATAAACAGGCAAAATCATACCCTCTTGCCTGAACTCAAGTGTAACAGAAAGTCCACAAAAACCACTGTTCCACTAAAGTGGTTTCAAAGTGGGCACTACCAGATGGCATTTCCTGCTTTTCTAGGTTATGACCCAACTTGTCAGAGGGAGAGGGCCATGCTCTTGCATCCTCCCTGCTACCACTTCCCTCCTCACCCACGCCCACAGTGAATTAACTGCTTACACACTTCTCTGTCTTCAGTGTCCACTGTGAGTTGCACTGTAGCTGGAAACCAGGCTGGCATCTTTCTCTCTCTGATGTATTCCCTACATGTTGCAAGAGTTCTAAGAATAGGGTTATGATCAAATACACACCTGCACTTGGCTCCTTCCCAACCCCCAATTGCAGATGAAATGTGTCTAAACCCCAATAATAATGCTAGCCACATAGATATGTGTGAGGAACTACCTCACTGAATCCTAAAACTAACCCTTCCAAGGAAGCCTCATTGTCTTTATTTTAGATAAGAATGCTAAGACGCAGGAAGTTTGGGTGTCAACTTTGTGTGTGCTATAGAGAGGAATGAGGTGGGATTCAAATCCAGGCAGTGAGATTCTGCAGCAGTGGTGTACATGGTATGAGAGGGCACAGCTGGTGGGAGGAGTCCACGCTGCGGATAGGTAGAAAAAAATTAAATAATAATAAAGTCAACTGGGGATCAGATAATTCTTTATCATCATGTGTTATGCTTAGGTCTAAGAAGTCCCCCAAATTCTTATGTATTTGAAATGTGATTGGATCATGGGGTGCTAAGCTCATCAGTGGATGAGTTCTATAGCTAGGTGTGTTAGTAGGCGGGGAAGCCTGGTCGGAGGTGGTGGGTCACGGAGGGTACAACTTGGAAGGGTGTGTGCTTTTTTCTGCTTTTTCTGGCTTCCACAGGATGAATAACTGTCCTCCAACAGGCCCTTCTACCATGTTTCTGCCTTGGAGCCAGCTGATTAGGACTGAACGCACTGAAACCATGGACCAAATAAACCTGTTCTACTTTGTTACAGGTACTGAGCATTTTGCTCCAGAGACAGGACAGCTAATATGCCAGGTGAACACAATATTCAACAACTCAGTGACGAAATAGTTTTCCACTCCCCTCCACATATTACCCTGAGCACTGTCCCATCTGGAGGTGGTGTCGAGCCTCACACGGCCCTGACACAAATCAAACAAGAAAAGAGCAGAACAAAAAGATGGAAAGAAGCCAAGCTTGGACTTTTAAAATTATTGTGGCAAAATACACATAACATGAAATTTACCATTTTAATCATTGTTAACGTACATTTCAGTGGCACATTCATGTGATGCAACCATCACATTTCCAGAATTCAACCACTACTACAAACTGAAGCATTGTGCTCGTTAAACAATAACTCCCTGCTCCTTTCACCTCCCAACTACTGGGAAGACATATTCTGTCTTCATGAATTTACCTCATATAGGTGGAATTGTACACTATCTTTTCCTTTAGATCCACTCTAGTTAACTAAGAATAATGTTTTCAAGGTTTATCCATGCTGTAGGATGTACCAGAATTATATTTTTAAGTCTGTGTAAGAACCTGGGTTTGAATGTCATCTTTAAGCCACCATAGCAGAAAAATGTCTTGTTTAGATAACAACTGTACCTATGTTGTAGCCATATATGTTGGGTTTTTCTGGTTGATATATACGATACAACTCAAATTCTTCTGGTGAAAAGCCAGACTACTTAAAATGGGACTCCCCAGCATGTGGCAGAATAACCCAGAATTTCTCCAGGTGTGTTGGTCTACATGTATGTATGTGGACATAAATACATGATCATGACAGAGTCAAAATTTTACCTTTTTCAACTTCATCTTACCTGTTTTGAAAGTCCCTTCTCATAGTTGTTAATTTCAACACAGTCACTCATTTCTTATCATTTTCCTTTGTCCTAAAAAAATATTTGGTGAGACACTCCCTGATACTCTCTGGAAGAATATAGATTGATGTTTCGTTTCAAAATATTTTCCTAAAATCTTCACTGGAATTACAAATCATCAAGGGTAGTCAAGGGTAAAGAATAAAAACATTTATTTTAAAAAATATCATCCAGCATCAATTTCAGTTTGGCAAACAGGAAAGGTGGGTGGTTAACATTTTATTATTACATGAAATTTGAGATATTGGAAGCATTATGGCAAAAAAGTGAATGCTTATTAAAACCGAGAAAGAATATGACAAAAAGGTTAAGAAAATGTTACCAGGCAATGAAGATAACCTTTTCCTCCAATACTGTTAACAGAATAGGAGGTTTAACCGACTTGCATGCAAAACCAAAAACATTCTGGTTTGTGGTTATGAAGATGTGAATTGAACAGATATGAGCAGACCTTAATATAAGGAGGGGATACAAAAAGAGATAAGATGAAAGAAAAATTATAAAGAATGTCTTTCCTTGAAGGTCTCTATAAAAAGTGTATTTTAAAAAACCGAGTAAGCATGTTCAATCTTTATTATGACTGTAAAAGTGTGGTAGACTGCATTAAAACCAAGTACTAATACACAAATATTCTCATTGTAAACATCTATAAAGCCTTCTGCAACTATTATATGTCACCTTACAAAACTCTGCCTCTTTGCTTGCTCCTTTATCTAGTTCCCAGCTTTTCACATCCTAGGAAAGGACCAAAGCCTCTAGAGATCCACCAGTCCCTCTTTTTCATTTCACAGACAGAGAACAAGAGGGTTGTCCAATATCACATTCATCCCCAGCAGCAGAGACTGGACTAGAATCAAGTTTCCTGCCTGCTTTTTCTCAGGACAGGACATGACTCATTCTCTACCTGGTCCCGGATCTGTGTTTGATAGCACTTCCCCAATCTTAGATAGGCAGAGGGGCTGTGAGAGAAAGCAGTAGGCATGACTGGGGCCTCTCTGGATTGGCATGAGCCTAGAGCACTAGAAAAGGAGGTGATAAAATACATCTCTTCCTTCTACCACGAGACTTCAAAACCAATCCACAACCTGCACAGATATGTGCACAAACACACACAGGCCAGTAGGAGCCAAGTATTTCCTGAGTCAAGCACTGTGTGCGAGGGAACCTTTTCAAAGGCTGTGAGAGAAGTTACCGATTTTGATTTTCACTTCATCAGCACTAACCACTGTATTCTGGAACTCGTATTTCTGGGTGACAGGTCTGGAATACTCCATTACAGGAGTTCCCAGAGGAGCCTCAAGAGTGTGGCTAGACCTCATGGTGCCATTTTCTTTTTTCTTTTGAGAACAAAATTCAGAGAATACATGTGTTATTCACATTTTTAAAGGTCTCCTAGACTCAATCTTGTTCAAGATTCAGCACAAGGAACACTAACTGGGAGCATCCTTTATCACAGTCATGAATGAGGAAAACGATGAGAGGAAAGGAAATGTTCCAACAGTCTTGAGTTTATTGAAACACTAACCATTATCACAGCTTTGAAGTCTGTCCTGCAGAAATGTCTCTTTCTCTTGATGGAGTCCTTTCTCCATCAATTTCTGTAAGTGTGAGATCTTTTTATTAAAACATTTCTTAGACATTGCTTTCTACCTGATTAATGATTTATGTGGCTCACAACACAACAGGCAGCCAAGTGTTGTATGCTTCATTTTAGGCAATAGGTTGTCTTTGGATGGGATTCCTTGTTTCCTCCCATATAGCTTGTTGTGTCTTATACACAGATTCCTGAAAAATTCTTTCTACCTGTGTAGAAAAGCCACGACTTTCTTCTTCCAAGGCATTGATGGTTTGTAGAGCAAAGGGAGTCCTTTCTCGAGGAAGGGGGTTGTTCAGGGGCCTCATGGGTATAACGGAGTTGTATTTGTGTTGCATGTTCACGGAATTCATTAGGGACGTGTAGAACTGGAAATTACACCAAGTATCTCTTAAAAAGTTTTCAGTAAGTAATAAGATTGTCCATGCAGACCCATTTACGGCGTCATCCAAATTCTGCAAATGCTGCTTGCCGCATGGCATTTCAGCAAAGATAATTCCAGGCTTGATACCAAAGTCATTTTCTAACAGTTCCCGGACTCTCAGGGCTTCCTCCGTATCATCTTCTGCGTGCAGTATCACAAATTTGTGGAACACCTCTTCGGCCTCCCCTTCAGGAATCTCTTCGCCCACCTCAGCTCCCTCTGTCTGCTCCTCTGCTCTATCACCTTGCTCCACACCTGACAAACAGACAGCTTCAGGCTTCATGGACTCATGGTGGTCTAGACTCTCATCCCCACCGTGACTTTTACCCCAGGAGAAGCAGAGAGGGAAGGTGTGCATTTTAGACTTCCCAATCCCCATGATATATATCCAAGACTGAAGAGGGAAGCCTTATTTATTTCTAAGCATTTCTTTTCGATCTGAAAGACAAAACAACAAAGAAGCAGAATATTGTAAATGTAATTGAAACATTAAAAATGAAAAGTTTTGTCCAACTTGGAAAGCTCACAAAGACTGTAACACACATATACTAAGAAATAAATGATCAACAGGTATTTGGGAAGCCAAACTTTATTCTTCTGAGAGCTACACAGAAGCGCTATCACAGGTAGCCCAAAGTGAGCTAAATAGAGGGTCCAGTATAATAGAATAAGAGACACTTAAAAATCAAAATGATATTGTATTATACCATAAGCTTCCAGGTTAAAATAAAGTGCTTCAATGTTTTAGTGAAAAGTGAATATACCATTCTATCCACAGGGTGTTTACATCTGAGATCCCCTATCCAATTACTGTGTAAACTAGAAACAGGGAAATCTAAAGATACAGAATATTCTGATATGAAAAGTGAATTTATCTTTGTATTAAACACAAGCATAAAATGGGACTCAATGTCCTAAAAATGACAGAAACTCTACTGACTCAGCATGAAGAAAAGATTTGAAATATAAAATGAAATGATGCCCAGGATTCATTGGTTCTAAGTTTTTTTGTCTGGGGTCAGGCATTATTGTGGCGGTTGAACTAATTGATGGGAAAGAAGTTATAATTAGGATGTGTAAGAAGTAGGGAATAGTTTTTTCTAGCTAATTCTATAGAAATTCTGAAAAAAATATATTTACTTACCTGAGGGGAAAATTAACATCTTGATTTGGAAGCAAAAAATCTAGAAACTAACACTTAATTTTCTGCAGTGAAGTATTAAAAAAAAAGATATAATCTATTCTTTTTTTGTACTAGGGATCAAATTCACAACTTCGCACTTGCCAAGCAGGTGCTGTGCTGCTGAGCTATATCTCCAGCCACATTTTGTTTTGTTTATGAAGACGGAGTTTTACTCTGTGTTAAGGAAGTTGTTGAACTTATGCCCAGGTTGGCCCCAAACTCACAGTGATCCTCCTGCCACAGCCTCCTACATGCTGGGATTACAGGTGTGCACCAACATTCCCAGCTGGAAAATGATGTAGCTAGATTATTTTATCAAAAGTTCTAAGCTTAGAGTGAAAGATTTAGGTCAGTTGGGAAAGATAATATGCCATGCAAATCTAAATAGCTCTTCAAAAAATGTTGGTAATGCTACTAATAATATCCCAAATTGGCCATTTCAGGAGGGTCATATCAAAACATGGAAAATCTGGAATAGATAAATATGGCTTTATATTTTTAAATATGAGCCAAGGCTACATTTTAGAGCATTTTTGTTGTCTACTGGCAAAGACCAAAGTTCAAAAAGCAATTATAATTAAGTAACACAGACACATATAACTAAAGAATTCAAATTTAGAAGAAACTGTTTAACAGAAGTGATGAAACTGTTCTATTTATTTGTCTTTTTTTTTTTTTTTTTTTTGTACCAGGGATTGAACCCACAACCTTGCACTTACCAGGCAAGTGCTTAAGCCACCGAGCTAAATCCGCAGCCTTTATTTGTTTTTTTGAGACAGGGTCTGGCTATACAACTGAGGCTGGCCTTGAGGTCATTTTATAGCCCAGATTGGTATCAAACTTGCAATGATCCTCCTGCCTCAGCCTCCTGAGTGCTGGGATTACAGGAGCGCGCCATCATGCATGGCTGAAAAGTGTTGTGGTAGAGAAAAACAAGCAAAATAAGCCAGGGTGTTGCTGCCTCTGACTAATGAAAGAATCTCTGGCTGATGCCTATCACTAGCTATGTCTGTTCTTTAGACTGTGGGTCCATTATTCTGTACTAGTTAACAACAAGTATTCCAAGACATCCTAATTCTAAAAATGAGATGTCCATATATCCCAAATAACAAATAAGGCGAATTAGAATCTTCTTCTTTGGGTAGAATTCACTGATGACTTTTGCTATTGCATTAAAGGAAAGATTCTGCCAACAAAGCTGCAAATGATGCTCCGCCTGCATAAGAAAACAACTGTTGAATGATTCAGGTGTCTCTGTCTGTGGAGTTCAATTAAAACTTGTCTTGAGCTAAGTCTTGACACAGGTTTGTCACACCAGTTCATCACAATGATCTTCATGACCAGTGGGTGCAGACACCTGTAAGTCATGCTCAAAAAAGATATCAAACCCTTCTAAGATATGATTGTGCTTTGAAGCCAAATCACAAAGTTTTTTGAAATAAATAAAATGAAACAAATTACTTTGTCTTATTTTCTTAAATGCTACACCAGTAATTAAAAAAGGGAAGGTTTCAGAAATCTATGATAGGCTTGCTGCACCGACTTCCAAGCCACCTAATCCAACAGAGTGATCTAGTGCTAACGTCTGAGAAACACTGCTGTCACCTTCTCATTTAAAGAGGGAGAAAACCAAAAGGGAAGATGCGAAACCTGCGTGCTGAGGACCCTGCTTTGCCACCACGACTGTGGCCTGAGCCACACACAGGAGATGCACAGGATTCAGCATTTCCCTCGGGGCTGGGAAGGAAGGAGAGGACCTCAGGGTGCTCACTCTGAGCCAACACCTTTGACAGTAGGTAAGGCTTCTCCGGGACAGAAGGAAGGCAGGCAAAAGAGGCCTAGAGAGCCTCCCTGAGAGCCTTGTCCTCCCAGGGACCATCAGGACCAGGTTTGGGATCTGAGGTCTCCAACTGTGCAGAGCTAAATAGGAGGTGATACTGGGGAGAGGCCCCCGAGACCTGTTCACTGAGTAAACATGTGTGTGGAGGCACATCTTAATTTGCCTTAATAGTGATTGAAACTCACAATGACAGTGAAAAGATTTTGAGAAGTTTGAATACTATCCTGTGCCCACCCACCCTGACCCTACCTCCCTGACCTCCCACCGCTGACTATGTTCTTGTTTCTCCTATGTCCTTTCACTGTTTCTTATGACTACTATATATATATATATTCTTATTTTTCTTTCAAATTTTAGAAAAATAGTCATTATTCATATATATATATATGCCAAACAGCAGTAGATAAACATGGTATCTACCATCTATCTGTCTAATTTCTGTTGATAGTATATCCTCAGGATTTCCCCTATCAGCACATAGAGAATTTCCTTACTCTTTGTTGAAACTACATACTCTTCCAGCATGTGGATATATTATAACTCTTCCCTGTTCTTGGGTATATAGGCTATTTTCATAGTACAACTATTATTAGAAGTGAGTCTACAGTGAACAACTTTTGTACAAAATTCACTTCATATATGTGCAAGCTCATCTGTAGAATAATCCCCCGAGTGAGATTTTTATATCAAAGAACAAATATATTATGAATAGTAATAAATTTGGCTAAATTGTCCTCTGTAGCCCTGAGCCACCATGTTTGCTATTAATGTGATATAACAACACCTACCTCTACTCTTTGTCCCAGGAAAGATCTAAGACCAAAAGTACTTATTATTATTAACCAAAGCTCCACTGAGCTAATCACACTCACTCAAGCAAAAGAAATTTGGAAAATATAACCTATCAGAATGGAACTCTTAAACAAGTTTTGACAGGAAGGTCAATGGCTCTGAAATAAAAAGAAAGTAGAGTCCAGAAAGCATCTGTTTTAGAGTCAGGCAAAAGGAGGCCCTAATAAAATTCTCCACGTTAAATAATGGCAGGGCTGGGAGTGTAAATCAGTGGTACGGCACTTGCCTATAACGGGCTCGATCCCCAGCAAACAAGCAAGGAAATAAATAAATAAACAACAAGTGACAAGAGCAACCTCGTGGCAAGAATGCAAAAATATTACAGGAAGCAAAACAGAATGTACACAATAATCATAGCATACGAAACACAAATTAAAAATTGTATTTTCACTAAGGCAATGTACTTTTGAACCAGACTGCCAGCAGGAAAAGGGCAGAAATGGCAATGGGCAAGAGAAAAAGCAGGGAGCTAACAGGATCTGAGTAGCTGTCAAATGGTGTTGCACTGAGGGCAGAATGAAGGGAAGCTAGTGCAGAAGCAAGGATATTAGTTAGGGACCATGGCAGAAACCAAGTAGAACCAGCAGCAGCTTGGACAGTTGGCAGCAGAGGAAGCAGTGCCGAGGAGGAGAAAGCACCTGAGCACCATGCTCCAGAATGGTGGTGGCATAGAAAATCTGTTCTTCAGAGTTAGATTCAGAGAGCTCAGTGATCCAGGGACTCATTGACAGCCAAGAGAGAAGAAAGCCTGGCTGCCACTCCACTTGGCAGCAGACTGTGGTATCATCCACATAGTGCTGGCTTTAGGAGTATGCAGAATGCAAGTTTTGAAAGTTAAAAAAATCTTCCACCTCAGTTTCAGGAGGGCTGGGAGGCCAGGCAGCGTGCCATGTGAGAAGGCACGTGTGAAGCTGTGAGTGTGCAGCCAAAGGTGCAGTGGAGACCACAGAAATTTGGAAAGCCAGGAACAAGGATCATCTAAGGAAAGCTGCAAGGTGTGAAAAAGTGGACCTAAGAAAAGCTGTAGCTGTGTTATATAATGTTCAAGTTGCAAGATTATATGAATAAGCATGGTTTTGTATTTGGAAACTGATTCAAAGAAATGAGTATGTTTGCAAAGTTGACAAGGGGTGGATTGTAATGGTGGATACATTATGTCAGTTGGAGAAGTTTAGAAGTTTAAGGGGCTCAGGAGGGGGTCACAGTCCTTACTTTGTAAACATCTTCACAAGGATGGTATGAGTGCCATATCCCCCTAGAGGATGGTAGCCTACTTACAACATAAGGGAGGAGAAGAGGCTTGCTCCCCTCTCTCTTTGCTCTTGTTCCTTTTGTTGTCTTCTACCACCTTGAACTGTTGCCTGTGCCATCCTACCCTGCCTCTGAGCCAGATGATTACAGACTGAAGCCTCCACAAATTGTGAGCTAAGTAAACCTTTCCTTCCTTAATTTTTGCTGTCGGTATTTTGTCCCAGCAGTGAGAGAAAAGTAACCAAGACAATGGTGATGAACAGGCTTTGAATGTGGAGTCTGAATTTTGCAGGAGAGGTCCAATCAGAAATA